CAAAAATTCCATAGGAACTTAAGGAAAAATTTCTTAACAGTGAGGGTGACAGAGCACTGGAACAGGCTGCCCAGAGAGGTTGTGGAGTCTCCTTCTCTGGAGATCTTCAAAACCTGCTTGGATGCAGTCCTGTGCCACGTGCTTTAGATGACCCTGTATGTGCAGGGGGGTTAGACTAGGTGACCTCTAGAGGTCTCTTCCAACCTTAAGCACTCTGTGATTCTGTGATTCTATGAAAATCCTCAGAGGAAACCTGTGACTAGAGCTGTAGTTTCACAATTGTGTGCCAAAAATGGAAAGTCCCTTATAAAATGCAGATTACTAATGAGCATGCGTTTGACAAATTTTCTACAAGTGGGAGAGGAAGATACTCTGCTAACTAGGACAGCATTCCATATTTCAAGTCTGCATGTTGCCAGAATGGCCCCCTGGTTTTCACTGTGTCACGATGCCTTGTCTCTAAAACCTTATCTGAGTACCTTTTATCACATTCTATATAAATAGCTTCTGCTAAATCTGTCTGCACCAGCACAAATTGCTGCAAGATGCTCCACTTAAGTAGTTCAAGTTGACAAAAACATTTCTGTATATTGTATTTTCTGAGCTACAGTGCATGTTTGAAGATTTTTCTATAATCCATATACTCTGTTCTGGAATCATACATACACACCTATTCCTTACGTTAAACTCCTACATATTTGGATACAACTTGAACTATGCCTGAATTCTGAGCATTTTCTTCTGTAAATTTTAATGTTAGATTAGACATTTTCCCTTAATAAACTGCAGCTGGAGTCACAATTTTTGGACTGTATACCCAGACAGGCATGCAGAAATGCTATGATACTACCTAGAGTGAGTGAACTGAAGGGGATAGCTCAGGTTTGCAATAGCACAGAAGCAAGTATCAACAATATCATTTTCAGCTTTTTGAAGTGGATTATGTAAAGCCTGGGTGTCTACCTGCTTCATCTGACTCGCAAAAATTCATTCCACTACATCCAGCAACTTCGGAACTACTGCCTTGAGCTGTGACTCGTATTTCTTTGTTCTCTAAAGAACTCCTCTAACCTGTTTAAATGTTAAGTGCAAGCACCTTACAAAAAAAGGCCTTGGGTTATTTGCCACAAGAGGGAGCCATCTTGCCTCAATAGTCAAAGCTGTTCTTTTTTTGCGCCTTCACTTTTGAAATGCATTTTTGCAGGCAAGGTTTACTATCCAACATTATTAGAAACACCCATGTTTCTGTTTGTGGGTCTGTAATATAAAAAAATTCAAATACACCAACAAGTGAAGCGCACTTTTAACGACTAACAATTTGTTTCACTTGTGAAAGGGCTCAATGTCTATCTGCAAATTTATCCTGGAATTTCTGAGTTATTAGCCTAAGTCTTGCCCAAGTCTTGAGAGTACAGACTTGCAAGTAAAACACTGACTCCTCTGCGCTTCTGAAATCTGCTTTACAGAAAGGAATCTTGACAGACAAGATCTAGGCACTAGTTTTGTTTGAATCGAGAGCCCAGAATACAATATATACAGGTGCTTGTACAGTACCTCAGGGATATCCATCATTCTCCTTAGCTTCTGATCTCTCCAATTCCAATCCAGAATCACGTACTTTGTGGAGTTCAGGCACAGGCCATCTGAAAAGACAACACACTTTTTACTACCAAGATTACATGACATGTGCTTATCAAAAAGATTTTTGATTCCTATATCCTTTGCTCCCAGTTCCCAAGGAAACTAATCTTTGAACACTAAATACTACATGTGCTGGTTGGAAAAGTAATGCAATGACACTGCAGACTCCCTTAACCGCATAATCCCATGCCTTTTTGGAAGATAAACACAGAAGCAGAACAACTACTGTTGCCAGGCTTGTCAAGAGCTAACATCCTGCCAGCAAATAACTCCCCAAGCTTCCTTTCCATGAAACCACAGGAGTTGAATTTCCAGGGCTGATGAGGTGCTGGTAAGTTACAGGGACCCAAGCCTGAAAAAGTCCTTTAACGGGATCTGACAGTGCTCTGCAATTTACAGGACTGGGTGCAATGTGAATGCAAGTCAGGTGCTACTGCAATATTCCCTTATCCTTCAAACAAATGCTGCTGAGATGGGAAAAGGGCCCTCTCTGAACTGACCCTCCAGGATTCCCCATATGTTTCCCTGGTCTTCATTATCATGCTTAGGAGTTTAATGACTCATTTCCGTTCTTCAGTGACCTGCCACTAAAACATCAAACTGTAACCCTGCCCTAATCTATCTCCTCCTAACACGGCTATGTGCTGATGTGTCAAACAGTACAGGTTTTGTGTTCATGGAGGACCGAAGGAAGCAAATGCTCTTCTCCTGCTCCTTTATGGAAGAAGCACAGTCCCAACCCACAGCCAGTCCCTGAACCACAGGGACACAGCTGGGGCACAGCAGTGATTATAAAGTGAAACAGAGAGTCACTTTATTCTTGTGATTTTGTTGTTTGTTTGGGTTTGTTTGTAAATAATGTCTAAGTAAAACTATTCAAGGCTTGGGATGAGAAAAGGAGATTTATATGGAATAACTAATTTAATTACAAGGCAAATCAGGAAAAGAATCAACAAGCAGATATCTTCTCTACCTCCTGCAGAAGTTTACATTGAACTCAGAGAGACACATGATACAACGACTTC